TGATTTTACCTGTGATGGACAATCTGTTGACACTTCCAGGACAGATGTGCAGCATCCTCTGAAAGACTCGTTAGTGCTGATGGCATGTCGATTGTCCGGTTGCAGTACCAAAAACGAGGAATTTCTCATCAAGCAGCTTATTTAACCAAGAAACAATATAAAACATTTTATACGAGATGGTTTCAGTACTGTAGTGAAAAATCGATTTATCCAATTTGTACAACTATAGAAACTGTTATTGAATTTTTAGCACATCTTTTTCGCCTAGGTTTAGGGTATAGTGCTATTAATACTGCCCGAGGGGCTGTATCTTCTGTTGGACTGATTTTTGATGGGTTTACTGTTGGATGTCATCCACTTGTAATACGATTTATGAAGGGTGTTTTTAATTTGAGACCATCAAAATCTCGATATGTACATACTTGGGATGCATCTATTGTTATCAAGTATTTGAGAAAATTGTCACCTGCAAAATACTTAAGTTTGAAAGATTTGACACTGAAGTTAGTTATGTTAATTAGTTTAATTTGTGCAAGTCGAGTACAAACTATTTCATGCATGAAACTTAGTAATATGAAGAGAACAAAAAATAGCTTTGTTTTTACTTTTAGTGATTTATTGAAAACATGTAGACCTAACAGTAGTATGTCTGACATGGTTTTGAAATCATATCCTCCAGATAGGAGGCTTTGTGTATATATTGTTTTATGTGAATACTTATCAAGGACTGCAAGAATTAGAAGTAAGTGTGATTCACTTTTTATCAGTTATGTACAACCACACAAGGAAGTATCAAGAGATACTGTTGCCCGTTGGATAAGAACAATGATGTGTTCTGCAGGTGTTGATACTACTATTTTTAAGGCTCATAGTGTTAGATCTGCATCAGCATCTAAAACAAAAGAGAACTTTGTTCCTGTCGATGATATTTTGTCCAAAGTAGGTTGGTCTAATGTCGAAACCTTCAGAAAGTTTTATGACAAACCTGTGCTGAATGATGATAAGTATGCAAATGCTGTTTTGAAATTAAAATAAAGAATTTGATTTCAGTTTGAAAAATTTTTTGTGTTGTGCTTTAAAGATTCACATTATCTCGGAAGTGACGTTTACGAAAAATAATTAGGAAATTAAACGAGACTTACCTTGGTAAAGGCGAAGTTTGATTCCAATTATTGGAGTAAATAAAAGGCACTGTAAGATAAGGTACTCCCTCCCACCCTGCAGGTGGTGAATGTATTATTTGAAATTATATTAGTGAAATGAATTTGGGTTTGATGTTTTGTTGCAAATCTATCAACCCAAAAAATTTTAGCTTTGAAGCAATGACTTGGCGGCTGCGCAGTACTATTCACCTTATCTCTACAGTGCCTTTTATTTACTCCAATAATTGGAATCAAACTTCGCCTTTACCAAGGTAAGTCTCGTTTAATTTCCTAATTTTTTCTGATCTCAAATTTTTGTTTAAGCATTAATCTTTTTTTTCTCTTTCATGAATTTTCTGCTGAGAGTCTAATAAATTAAATAATTTAATTCAAGCTATATAGTAATATAGTGAAATTATTTCCTTGTGTGAGACCTAAAGAGGGACAGGTAACTCTCATTTTCACTAAAATTTCTCCGATTTCAGGAGTTGTCTCCCCTTGAAAAGATCAATAATGGCAGATAAACAATGTGGCATGCAGTCTGGTCACCATCGGACAGTTTTGACACCCGTATACCCGGATTTCTACCAATTACCTCTGTAACCTTTGTTGTGTTCATCACACAGGTAAGAAAAACAAGATTTTTAATTCAAAAAATTTTAATGAGCTAAATGATAAAGAATATAACATTTTTACATGTACAGACTCTCTCGTATAAGAAAATGTCACATTTTACATATACAATAATACATCATTCACATGTCCACATTTTCCCCATTTACACAGTTGAAAATAATCAATGCATAATGAACCATAAAAACAATTATTACATGTAAGATAGTTCATAAAATATATTTTTAAATACAAATTTTATACATTTGAAATGCATGTACATATCATCAATGCCCCCCCCCCCCCTTCACAGTCTTACAATTTCCTTTTTAATTTTGGATCTGTTAATGATTTACTGTAAGTGTCTTTAGATTTTTTATCGTACAGCTGATATCTTTTAGATCTGTAGAATTTTCTTTGAAATTTATATTTTAACAGTTTTTGTTTCATTTTAAAGTAATTTTGTCTATTTTGTTGTTGTTTTAGATGATGGACCACTCTACTTCCTTTGACAACAGGTGCCCCTACAGATTCACAAAGTTCCAGTGTTGAGTTTCCATGACCCCTATTCAGTAAGTGCACAACTTGATGTATTCTACTTTCAAAATTCCTACTACTTGTAATACATTCTGGATTTGATTTTAAATATGCCCTATTTACAGATTCAGATTTTTGTGTACAAGTATGATATTTGATTCTATCAAGAATACTTTGTCCTAAAGTCAAATTTATACAGTCTTTTAACAAACATTTGTCTTTTTCTGTCATGTTTAATTCAAAGTCACTAGGCAACACTGAAGATTTCCACTTATTGCTTTTCAGTCCACGACAGGAAAAGGAATAGAGTTGACAGGACTTCCCGCACTGTCCCTGGTAGCAGTTTATGAGGGAACCAACCGCAGTAGACATAGCACGCTTCATCAAATGTAAGTCGCCGGAGTAGTGTTTGAAGCAATTTTCGTACTCTGTACTGCATCGAAGCTTCAGGTCCAAGGCAAATCTTCTCTGCATGGATTCTCTTGTGGCCTTGGTTCTTCCCGGAAACATGTGACTGCTGAATGGAGCCTTAGCAGTCTGTTTTCTTTGAGAGTTAAAGAAGTGACGCAAGTCCTTAAGGTTTTCAATCACATGTCCTTGTTTTTCAGATGCACCAGATGCAGCGGCACTGTCTCCATCACTGGTGAAATGGGATATGACTAGTGGCCGGTCATCACTTTGTAACTCACCAACACAATTAGCGGCCAATCGCTTCTCGTCTCCAATGGTGGTCTCCGGAGGAATGGTTGCAGTGCAGTCTTCGTGTCCTGGGCAGGTAACTTCTTTTCCTTTGCTTCGTAGATGTGCGCCTTTCTTACATAGTTTATTCCCACAGAAAACTGCTACCACATTCTTCCTCTGAGTTACATTTTCACTTACGGTATACGTCACTTGGGTGGCAGCTTGGGATGGGGTTTTCCTAATGGCACTGAAGGTGGCATTATTGTACCGAGCATCTCCTTCCGCCTTGATGGGGGTATCCGGAAGTCCACATTTTTCATTAAGTTCTTGAATGTTCTGCCGAATTTTCTTCATACTGTTTTTATTTACATCGGTTATAATTTTCCCCACTTTGTTGCAGGTCTGTTGCATGTTGGTGGCTGACGCTGGTTCAGTATATGCACCAAGAAGCATACCACACATACCCTCTGTTGTAAGACTGGTACCCAGGTGACCGACAGCCATGGCCACATTCAGCTGTGCAGCTCTTCGTCCCTTGCCAGATCTTCTCACCTCTTCGTAAAGCTTTTCTCGGTGACTGGTATAGTGGCACTTCTTACATCGAATGGAAAGGATCCATGCCAGGCTTCGTTTTTCCTCCCCATGCTGATTCCAGTCCAGTTGACCATCACAGGCTGGAAAATTCTGTGAGTGTTCTTTAAATGCATTGTTCCACAATTTAGCAGTCTTTTCTTGGTGAAGTACTTTGTATAATTTTGAATTTGGGTCATCTGACATAGATTCCATGTAGGTGTCCACTGGCTGGACCTCACTTGGCCTGGGTCGTAAAAACTTCATCTCGCTGCTTCGGCTCTTGGCATCTATAACTGCAAACACTCCATTTTTCTGTGGCCGTACAATGTCCTGAAACTCTTCTTTACTTAGTCTTCTTATGGGAACCAGAGATTGGACTGGGCTGGTGGTCCCTATTTTCTTCTGGCCTTTGTTGTGAGGAATACTTCCTTTTTTGTATTGATGTTGATGCAACCATCTTGGTCCTTTTTTTGGCATGGTAATTATTTAAAGGGAACGTTTGGTCAGAATTAAAATTTTTATATATAAAATACCTCTCATATAAAAAGAAAAGCTGCATCTAACCAGACTGCCTTTTTTTGGCATGGTAATTATTTAACTGTATACTTGTAGACTTTTTCTGAGAATATGCATTGTATGTGGTGCACATTTTTAGGTATTGTAAACTTTTGTGTTGTTTATTTATTTTAGAGCTGCCAGGACTACTAAGAGAAACTCCATTCTTTGATGACTGATGGAAAAGCCTCATCACCCCCCACTGCTTAAGAATCCCTTATCTTAATCACCAGTCATTAATCGGTGATCACTGTTACCAAAGCTCCAAGGTACATTATTGAAGTCTCTGTTGACACCATTTTTTCCAGTCTCTGACTTTGATAATTAGAGCTCATTAATTAGAGCTGAAATTATTTTTTAGCAGATAGCCAAAAACTACAATATTTCAGCTTTCATTTCATTCAAATGTTTTTTTCTGAATAATTCACTTATTAAATTTTTTTCAAGTTTTGAAATTAATATGACAAAGATGAATTAGTACAGAAATTTATCCTAAAATTCAATAATCTGTTAGGAAGAGTTATCTTCTATTTTTCATCCCTTAAGGACAAAGATAAATTTTGATGCACTAGTATATGAAAGATAAATAACTCAGAGACATTTTGTGCAAATTTCATTTAATTTCATTAGCTTTTAGTTGTCTTAAAGGTCCTATGCAAGGAAATAGCCAATCAGAATGAACTTAGTCAATTAAAGTTCCATATATATAAAGACGATTTTTTTTTCTTTTATCATTTTTGGCAATTTGTTTTAGGCCTACAGTATTAAAATTGGACTCGTGTACTAGGAATATCATTTCTTTAGCAGAATTATCCCACTGAATTAAAAGGAACTCTTTTCAGGTGCGCATGATGCAACTTCCTGGATGGTGTGTAGGCTGTTTGTCAACATGTGAATCCCACGTGCATTTCGGGGTAGGTAAGTTTACTATCGATTTTCTTTCTTAAAAGCTGCATAAGGCATATTTTTACTGATCTCAAATTTTTGTTTAAGCATTAATCTTTATTTTCTCTTTCATGAATTTTCTGCTGAGAGTCTAATAAATTAAATAATTTAATTCAAGCTATATAGTAATATATAGTGATATTATTTCCTTGTGTGAGACCTTAACACTTTTTTTTAAGAAAAGAGAGGTCAAAGGAAAGGTTGGGGTCAAAATGTTGTTGCAGTTGAAAAGCTTACAATATAATTAATGGTTAAGTTATTCTATAGCAAAAACGCATGTAAGCACAACACTTGCATAGCATGGTGCAAATGAATTTGAACCAAACAATTTTCACAAACAAATTCAGATTCTTAGGCAGCATAAAATGATCTATAGGAATCAGAAAAAAAATCTCTAAGCTATTGACGTTCTCTCTCTTCTCTTTTTGCTAGTTCTTGGACGGACCGTGTGGACAATTTCTGCGTTCCTTTTCTCAATTTCTTCCGTTAATCCTCGAACCTGATAAAAAGCGTACAATATAAACATCAGATATCAATTAAATATTTTAAACGTATTAAAAACATTTATGTTGAAAACATACCCAAATATAAAAAGTAGCTCCACCAGCGCTGACCATGCGCACTTGATCCAAAGTAAAATCTCGTATCAAATCACGTGCTCCGAGAGCAACATCTAATGGTATATCGTCAACCTTAAGCTCTTGAATTTTCCTTTTAATTGACTCTTTTCCCATCTTTCCCAGAGCAATTTGCACATTTTTCCAATCCTGTTTAAAAAAAAAAGAATTTTCAGTCAAAATATTTCAGACTCGTATCTATAATTTCACACATTTGGTAGAAAATGATACTCAGTACTTTCAAATAACAAAAATACAATAGGAAATAACTTCTACATTTCATATTGATATTTTCAGTTTTCAAAGCTTAAAAAAATAATGAAGAAAATTTATATAAAACGCTTTTCTGCAAGTTAATCTAAATTCTTTTTTAGACAATAGAGGAAAATGAATAAAAAAATTTAAACAGTCCCAGAAACATCTCTTCATACCGACACCATATCAAGCTTGTCGTGAGAACTTTAAACAAATTTATACATTTGTAAATAGATTTGAATAACACATTGGGTATACGTACATATGTATATGGGATAAAAGCAGATTTATGTTCATATTTATGAAGATAATTTATATTTTATACATTCATGAGACAGGGGAAAGCTTCTGTACATTTATCAATGGGATTGTGTTAGATTCTAATATAATCAATATTCCACATCTTTATTTAAAATGTAGATGCACTGATCTTTAAAAAGATGATGATATTCATTGATATATCAAAAGCAAAGTACAAAAATCATATTCAAAACTTTTATTCAAATGATCACAGTTGCGATGGGATTGATAATAAAGATTTCCTTCATGCATTAAAATTAAAAGCATGGTCATGAAGGGACAAAGCAATACAATGTACGCATGCAATAACCCTCACACTTGGACTTTGGAAGTCTGGATCGTTGTAACGCTTCACGATTTTCTTTAAAAGTCAGCAATTAAAATGAGTATAAAAAAGCAAAATCAAAATACTACTGGCTCAACATTGTCTGCTATACATACTATTTAAAAACGGCATAATCATCCATTTTTGTAAAATCAATGAAATTATTCTTTTATCGAGTTTTCTTAAATTCAATGACTTTGTAAAATACTTTCTTTGACCAATTAAAAGTACTGACTATTTATAAATCAACTAATAAAAGTCATTATGAAAGAATTGTATGATCTTTTTTGTTTTGTTGATGAAAGAAAATCGCCAAACTTTGCCTATTCTACGATAAAGCAAAACTTAAACAGAAAGAAAGTACATATTATGTACCTCTGTTTCCTCTTCCCAGTGTCCAAGTAACAGCAATGACGCCATCATCACGTGATGTACGGCAGGGGGCGGGTGTTGATATCCTAAACAAAGATAACCATACTAGGATATTTTTCGAAGTGCATGATTTATTTATTTAATTAGCATGCGTTAAAAATAAAATTGAAAGATTTCTTTGTGTTATTTCAAAAATTTACGGTCTATCGAGAAAATATTTACGTAATAAAGTTATTGTAATGTTTAATGCAAATAAATGATAAACTAATTTTAAATTTAAAGTTAATCTAATACCTTTAATTTCTGCAATAGTTTTCTGATCCAAGCCCAGTACAGCATGCATCAATTTAGCGATATTTCGCAGACGTTCCAGCATGGATTTGGCGCGAACAACTTCTTCCACTAATCTGTTCTCGACATTTTTATTCTTTGTTAGCTGCAAGGCGGACTTGATAGCATCCAAGTCCTTCATATCTGTCCCTTCATTTAATTCTAAAAGGCAAAATATAAATGTATTTTAAGGTTCAGACAAAGAATGAAGATACATGTAAATCAATTTTATTGTAATAATAAAATTTCAACAACTCCACTTAAAGAGGTTTGTTCGAGACTTAAATGAGCAAAACTAGTATTTTAAATCTACATTCACTAAAAATTAAATAACCAGAAGTCTCTGTAGAGACTGTAGCTCTACTGGTTTATACTTAAAACAAAGGAAGAGAAAAGTAGCAGTTGCGACTTGAAACTTTAAAAACAGCAATAAATAGAAAAATGATCCTTGCCACTCATCAAAGCAAAAACCGATGCAGAGAATTATGTATCTAAGTGTAGTCTACTTGTGTGCCAAGTTATATTGAAATCAGGCCAAAACTGTAGGAGGAGTAGCATTTTGAAAGAATTTCACAGAAATTTCTATTTTTAGTAACCACGGCAACACCGATCATCGAAATCAAAAACCGATGCACAGAATTATGTATTTTAGTGTAGTCTACTTGTGTGCCAAGTTATATTGAAATCGGACCAAATCTGTAGGAGGAGTAGCATTTTGAAAAATTGTTTACAGACAGACAGACGGACGGACGCCGGACGCATTACTAGGGCTGAAACGATTCACCGAAATATCGATATTGTTCGATATAAGTGCTCGGTTCAATTTTCGATTCACCATCTCGATTTTCGGTTCGATACGTTTTTTAGCTCTACTGGTCAGAGACCAGAAGAGCTTATGCGATAGTAATGCGTCCGGCGTCCGTCCGTCTGTCTGTCTGTCTGTCCGTCTGTAAACAATTTTTCAAAACGCTACTCCTCCTAAAATTTAAGTCTGATTTCAATATAGCTTGGCACACAAGTAGACTACACTAAGATACACAGAATAGTGCATCGGTTTTTGATTTCGATGAACGGTGTTGCCATGGTTACTAAAAATAGAATTTTCTGAGAAATTTCTTTAAAACGTTACTCCTTCTAAAGTTTTGGTCTGATTTCAAAATAACTTTGCACACAAGTAGACTACACTAAGATACACAGAATGGTGCATCGGTTTTTGATTTCAATGAACAGTGTTGCCATGGTTACTAAAAATAGAATTTTCTGAGAAATTTCTTTAAAACACTACTCCTTCTACAGTTTTAGTCTGATATAATATCATTTGGCACAAAAGCAGACAACACTAAGATACTTTAAATAGTGCATCGGTTTTTGATTTCGATGAATGGTGTTGCCATGGTTACTAAAAATAAAATTTTCTGAGAAATTCCTTTAAAATGCTACTCCATTTACAGTTTTGGTCTGATTTCAATATCACTTGGCACAAAAGTAGACAACACTAAGATACTTAAAATAGTGCATCGGTTTTTGATTTCGATGAATGGTGTTGCCATGGTTACTAAAAATAGAATTTTCTGAGAAATTCAATAAAATAATCAACGATTCAATCTTTTTACAGACATGCTATATACATGTACAATGTCTAGAATTGAAAGTCTTTGTTTGATAAAATTGTAAATGGCATTTTCTGTAATTATTTATAATTGTATACATGTATTTGAGAAAGTTTACAAACTTTAAACTTCTATACATCCATCTAGGAAATGAAAAAAAAAATCAACAAATGACTCAAGCATATGTGTGGTTTGAAATGGCATTTTAAATTGCAAATGCTATGCTAGTGGCCCTTATAAAATGCAGATAACAGCAAGCCAAACTGGCTCTATTGATTCAATGATCAAAAATATCAAAGCAGATGTACCGTTTGTCAGCTGTGTGACATAGGGGAGGCTGTGGAACGATTTATTTATATTTAGTTTAACGCCTACCTACATGTAGTAAGATCACGTCTAATTGATGGAAGACGTCGCTGATTTTAAGTGGAATGAATACTAGACTATCTTTACAATCTAAATAAAAGGTGCCAACCTAAATGAAAGGTTACAACTATATATGGTGACAAATCTAAAAGAAGGGTTGAAAACGCGTGTTTCCGATTTCTCAAAAACAAGACACTTTAATATAGATTAAAGTATTACTACAGACCCATAGGAAGCGATTTCAGATGGGACGCCATGCATTTTCAATTGGGAAGCACTATCAACTACCAAATTTCCTTGTGAAGCCAGAAAAAGTTCTATTTAAAGGCACAAGCCTATAGAAGCTATGTTTAAACCCCGCTTGAAAAGCGGGTGGGTATATAGTGATCGGGATGTCCGTCTGTCCGTGTGTCTGTATGTCCCTCTGTTCCACTTTGGGGCACCCATCTCTTATCCGCAACTCCTCTTTTACCACTATATGAAATTTAATGAAACTTTCACATAATTTTTGTCAGATGATGCCATTTTGCACCTTCTATTTTACTTTTTGATGGGACACATGTTTTGGATTTCCCAGAACAAAACATAAGCACGGCCATTTTTTCTATAATATCATCTTCGCTAGCCAAGGGTTTCTGATACGCTACTCTCCTCATAAACCCTTGGCATACGGTGAAGTCAAAAGACGGGATTGTTTTCCGTCACGTGATCTCGAATCTATCAGGTACGCACAGATTGCGTCATCGCCAGAAATAAAGACACGTGTTAATGTTAAAAAAAATTAAATCAAAGTTTTTTCAAGAATAATTCAGAAGTAATAATTGAGTTATGTTTATTCATTATTTATAGAACAAATCTGAAGCTTCAATATAGATTCTTATTCACATATTTAGAAGATATTGGATGACACCATGGCTACCGGGTACTCATCAACGTCCGAGTATCGAATACTAAAATCGGTACTCGGTTACTCGGATGTATATTTAAAATATTTCTAAGCTTATTTATTGATGCTTTAAAACATCGGTTTTAAAATGAAAAATGTTCATTGCACTTGTGCATACAGTAATTAGGGTTTCCTGTGCCTCCAAATGACTGTTGTCGCCTGTGGCAGTGTTTATACAGTAATTACCGTGACCAAGCACCTGCTACCTACCTGGCCTTTCTCACCTTCGGCTGTCTTCTACCCTTATGTTTAGTTTGCTCTAATTATTTGTTTTCATTGAACATCGTTTAAGGTCTATTATGTTTAAATAAATTAGATAATTTTGTCAATTCTCCAGAAGCCGTAGATTCTCGGGGAAAGAGACAGAAGATATTGCACGTGCGATTGTTGATATGGATGCATTTAATTACGTGCCAATTAATGCAAATGGTTGAATCCAAAGGTTTTAAAAATCTTATGTCCATCGTTGCACCAAACTACAACATACCGTCTCGTAATTTTAATGAAATCAATGATCGGAAAGTGTACGAAGATCGTAAATCCGCTCTGTTAAACTTGATCAAGTTGATACTGTACATGTAGCTCTGACGACTTATCACTTATATGTCAAACGCACTGATAGAGTTACATTACAATTAGGGTACAGATTATTTTTTTTAAAACAAAACCACTGTGAGCCATTTATGATTTTATTTCTTGTATTTATCTGATAAATAAATTGGACTTAAAAAAATGTTAGATTGAATTTCGTCGGGCACAAAGTTGTCATAATTGTTACAACACATTAACAGGTAAGCCTCCTATCAGACCATGTGGTTTTTTTTCAATGTTTTACAGTTATCAATTAACTTGTTCATATTTATTTAGACTTTTACCGAGTACCCGGGTACTCGATCGGAAAAACGTCCGAGTAACCGAGTATTAAAAATTGACCGATTTGACATCCCTACTATTAATAGAATTGAATGTTATCTTACGGATCGTTGTTTTCTTGCGTTTGATTAAAGAGTGAAGATGTATCCCGAACGCAAATATCGTCATTTACAAAAAACAATTGCTGATTGGTCGACGTGGGTGTACCGAAATCCAATCAGAACTCTGGAAAAAAATCCCAATTTCTATGAACACCATAGGCCAAGGGTTTATGAGGAGAGTAGCGTATCAGAAACCCTTGGCTAGCGAAGATGCCAAAATGTCAGATCAAGTTGCATCAGTGGATGTGAAAACATTCAAGCGTTGAATACCAGAACATTTATGCATCTTCATAAAAATAAAAGGTGAATAAAAAATTAAATGGAATGATACACTGATACCTGGAAAGAGCTATTGTAATAGATTGCCCTTTGAACTTGATAGGATAAGTCTGTCATGTTGAAATCAAAAATGATCGTTCAGTTCCCAGTTAAAAAATTACA